CCGATATGCTTTCTTCTCTGAGTCTATTCAAACTCTAACGAATACGATGCTTGCTCGATGGTCCAGCGTTCTTTTGAGAGGCGATGAAGCTTTCCATGCGAGTAAGGAGAGATGAGTCGGCGTTTAGAATCGAAGAACTTGTCAGATCTGGTTTTCACCTTTTCAGATATTTGACGAGTGCTTCATGATGACGATGCGTGTACCGGTTTGACAAATTTTGTAGCTCGGATTAACCTTCTAGCGTGGAGGTGAGACATGCAGAGAAGAATTTTACAAGCGGTGGATGAAAGATTGTACCCTGGTTCTTAGGGACATCACGCTCCAAGATACAAGCCGATGGAGTAGTCAACCGGAGGACTGGTTTTGGTCGGAAGCATGGCAGACCTCTACTTCCCTGCACCGGTGTATGGTCTTAAGTCATCCCGGTGGTATGAGTTTTGCACCTTCTGAAGCTATGATATGAGGCACTGGTCATGCTAACTGTTCGCCAGGGTCCATCTTTCAGTCTGGATTTAACTTTCTGGTTTTCTGGCTAAGGATCGAGGCAGTGGAAGAGAATGGGTATGAACCGAGACTGAAATTCACTTTTTTAGGTGTTGAGGCGATTGATATCGAACTGAAGTCAGATTATCATAAGATTAATTGCTTGCTCTCTATATTATAAGTCAGTTTAAGTTTTATTGTCCATTTGTTTGACAATGTTTGCCCATCGTGTGGTCTAATGTAGGGCTCAAGAGACGGTTCATACCGAGTAGTGAGATGTTCTTGTTCTCATAGTGGTGAAAAATACAATATCGGATAGATTCATGTAGTATAATTCTTCTAAGTGTTCCTTGGTGATACTAAATCCCGATATTGTATGTGAGGTGAAAGTCTTGTTAAGTTGTAATGTCATTATCACGAATTAGTGAATGAAAGTTGAAGTTGAGATTAAAAAAAAAAGACTCTCAGATTTTCTTAAGAAATATACTCCTTTTAAAAGGACAAGTAATTGTACATTTGTCACACAAAAAAAAAGAGTTATTGTATATAGTAGTGTCAGTACACTCTTATTTATGCCTAGTATAACGAGCGAGCAGGACACATTTTAAACTTCGCCGTGGTTCTTTTCCTCGTGTATATAAAAGAGAGAGAAAATTAGGAAGAGACATGATGTTACAATTTGTATAAACATATAATTCCATCCAGAACCGGCTCAAAAGTAAATAAACGGACCCTAATTATTTGTATGGATTTATAAAAAAAAAGTATTGTTGTAAGAATACTGAACAAACTAATAATCTGAACCCTAAGATATATATATATATATACTAGGTGATTTTCCCGTGCTCATGCACGGACATAAATATTTATAAAATAAATATATTATAATAATTTATTGATATTTATTTTAAATTTTAAATTGATTTATAATTTGTAGGTATAATTTAGATTAATAATATTATATTAATTTAATTATATATATAATTTTAGATATGTTATATTTTGTCAGTTTTATTGTTTTTACGGTTGATTTATTTATCATTTGGATATATTAGATTCTATCTATTTCTTTGAATTCAACTATAATATTTTTTAGCCTAAATATATTATTTTTTTGATTAATTTTCCTATTTGCATTTATGCTGGTTGTTATCTTAGAAATATAAGTATATCTAGTAAGATTATGTATAACTTAAGATTTTTTTTGTGCTTAGAAAGAAAAAAATAAAAAATAAATTTTCTGATTCTAAATTACATACATAAGTAACTAATACATTTTTGGAAGCTTATGAACACATATCAATATTTACAATATTTAGATTGATTGGATGAAAAACTAAAATTTATTTTAAATAATTTTAAAAATAAGGATTCTGGTTTGCTTAAGTATTTTGATTATGGTTAATTAAGTTCCACAAACACAAAAACATAAAATTAAAAATCAAAACAATTATTCAGAACACGTATAATTTTAACAATTAAAATATATTATATCTACTTCGTTAAATTATATAGTGTTATGATATTTTAAAATAATTATAGTTATTTAATCAAAAAATGATTATTATTAACATTTATTTTTAGTTTTGTTTTTAATATCTGTTAAAATATGCAGTAAAAAATGTTATTGTTTTTGAGAAATTATATTATATAAGTAAAATAGAATTTATATGTCAAAAATACAAATTATAAAAAAAATCAATTAAACATATATCAGTTTATGTTACTTAATTATTTTATGTAATCATCTAATAAAATAGATAGATATATACCAAAAAGAAATTACTATGAATATATATATATATATTATTGTTTAAAATTATTTTTTTAAAGAAAAAAAATATTTCTTTTTCTAATATCAAGATTAGTTGTGTGAAAGTTTTTTATGGAATCACATTATATATAAATATTGTTTTTCATCTAAGAAGATATAGATATGAAGTATTTTATTACTTCAAAAGTATATTTTATGTTATTTAAAATACATTTAAATTAAATATTACTATTTTGTGAACTTTCCTTTTTTTATGAAACCATATTTCTATATACTTATATTTTCGTTTTAAATAGTTTTGTAAACTTTATAAATGTTTCCTTTTTATTTTATATTGTTATTTGGAAAATTTTGAAAATGAAATAATAATCTTTAAATTTATTTTTTAATTCATTAAGGGTATCATAGTAATCAACCATCGTAAAAGTTAACGTGAGCGCGACACATAAGAAAGTGACTTCTCAAATAATATTATAGAGATATTGATCGTTATAGTAACTGAATGATAATATCCCAAAATAAGCTCGATCCTGAGCAAATTCTCTTCAGCATATGGACATGGTCCGGACTGGTTCCATCATCAGTTTCAGTTATGGCTTTGTATGAAAATAATGTAGAAGCCGGAAAACCGGATCGACATAAACGATTAAAAAAGACAGAGTTAAGGAAATAAACGATTAGATAAGACATGGAGGCGAGATAAATCTCTTTCCTCAACTCTTAATATTCGCTCCGTAGTGAGACGAAGTTGTACGAATATTAAGTCTCAGGATACAACCATGGTAAACAAATCACGCTTCACTTGTGAAATGACCTAACAAACTAAAATTTTACGAAGATTCTCTTTAAAAAACTTACGCTGAGAGATTGCTGAATTTTTTCTGTGTAAAAAAACGATCGGAATAAATGAAGAGGAGACGAGTTATTTAAAGAAGAAAGGAGAGATCAAATTCCGCAACTGACGAACCACGTTCCGAAGATCTCTCGGAAATCTCGGGAGTGGAGAGTTAAGAAACTTTCTCTGCTAGATTTTATGTTTGACTTGTTATGATCTTTTGACAAATAAAAAAATTACGTGTTGTTTTAAGACGAATTTCATGTCGTTTTACAAAATCATCATGCCTTTTTTATTTAAAATTTTAAAAATTGGCAAAGCTGGCCAGACACAGACAACGCCCACCGAACGGGTGCGGCGTATGCATGGGAAGTCTTTCTTCTCTTCAAGCCATTTAACCTTTGACATATGAGTGTACATATATATACTACTCATTTTTCTTCCTCTTGGCCATGTGGAACTTTCCCCATTGCCTAATTTCATTTAATTAACATTTCTTTGGGCTTACAACATTTGAAGTCCATGTCATTTATATTCACATTTTAGTTAAAAGCCATTGGACTTTTAGTGATCCAACAAATAATTGTCGAAGTAGTGGCTCCGGTTTTGGTCAAACACCACATTAGAAGTTCCAATTCGTTATTCACTTAGAATTATCAATCCATTATAGCGTTAGCGCGCGTATTAATGTACATACATTATCTAGCTATTTAGTATTATATGGTATTGATCACTGAAGCTAGAAGTTTGATGAATGTTGACATGCAGGTCCCAAAAGCCAAAAGCATAAGCAAATTTATAAAAGCATGGTTTCATGCAAAAAAAATACTATATATAGAGCCCAAACTATGGAGAAACAAATAAACCACATCGTCAAATAATTTTTTTTTATAAATATAATATTTTATTAATATATATCCTTCCGATCATCTCGAAACCCGTCCGTACATGTATAAAACTATACAATACAGTCATACATGACAGAATCATCTATAAAATCATTCACGCTCGCTTTAGGCATTACACGATATTAATTAATAATTACATCTCCATCCTTCAATCAGTAGTAATAAGCCGACAATGGTGGTGGTCGGGGCGAAGTGTCTTCCTCGTTCAACTTCACCTTAATACCAAAAGTCTTGAAAATAGTATTCAAACCATTAAACACATCATAAGAAGCACTGCTTAGCTTCTTCCCAACTCCAATCCCATTCTCCACTTCCTTCAACAAACTCTTATCATCAATATCGTCCAAACAAGTCCAGTGATACCCCATGATCGATATTAACGTCTTCTTACACGTCAAATAGTTATGAGCCAACGTCGTTACATCTTTCCCCGTAGCTTTCCAATACTCGGTGAAATCTTCCAACGCATACTTCAAGTTTTTCTCGCAGCTGCTGATCGCCGCAGCTGCGGTTGCGTTTGATTTATATTTTGGTTCGATCTTGGAGAGGAAAGCCACACTATTTTTCACGGAAGATTCAGCCGCAACCGCTAACGCTCGGATCAGTTCGATGGGGTCATTGGTTGGAACGTGTTTAAGGGTTTTGCAGCATAGACTTGTGTTTGATTGGATAACGGTGCATATTCCCGCGACTGCTTTTGCGTGCGGTGTGAAAAGGTAGTTTGAGCGTTTGGCTGGTGTAGCCGTCGTGGCTGCGATTACGGCTAAGAAGATAAATAATAATAATACCAGTTTGATTGGAGTGTTCATGATTGTGTTTCTGTATGGACGGAGAAAAAAAAGGATTGGAAAGGAACACAACGGATTGGGAAGAAGAAGAAAGCTTAGTTATAGAGATATGCATGTTGTGCATATTTATAGTTCGACTATATTCGGTAGATATTATTAGATTTTTAATTCGTTTTCTAAGTACTTAACGTATGATAACGAGTGATTTGCGGGTTAATTTCAGGCTATACAGTTAACGTCGAGCTAGTATTTTTTTGCTATATTTCAGTTTTACGTTTTAATGCAAGTATGGTTATAAGTGAAGTAGTTTTTCTGTTGAAAAACAATAATTTTATAGGAATTATACCGTTATAATTTTTAGTTTTAAGTTCTTTTCCTGTAGGTTAAAGCTGCTTACCCGAAGAAAGTGTTGAATCTGAGTTTTGTACGGTCGATTGACTAGAAAACTAAACTCGATTTGTGGGTTATTCAAAGGCGTTTTATTAATCAGAGTTGATATCAAGAGGAGATTACAGAAAGATTCGAGAAAAGAACAAAGGTCGGAGCTTTATGAAAGTCCGACCAGATTACAAGGAGGTTCGATTGATCGTAAAACCCTAAACCTTGCCGTCAGAGTTCTTGTAGTAATTTGCGGACCCCCTTCTCTTTGCCCTCTGTTGTCCTTTTATACTTTCGTGCTCATCTCACGTCTCGTTCGCCCTAAAGGTCGTTTGAAAGGCCCGTGAGTCGGTTCCATGCTTGATGGGCTTTGGGCCTGCGTTAATCGTAGAACCGGATTCAATTCGATGGTCGACCGGTTATTGAGGCAAACCGGTCGTCCGACCTTCGGGTTTATTTCCTATTTCGATCGAACTGTCAACGAGTGGGCTGAAGCCTGTTGTTCGATGGGCCTTGTGGAGGAATGTTCAATTCCTCTCCAACAGTAAGTCCCCCCCGAATCCGTTTGCAGGCAATTCGATTTCCTGGAAGCGGGACGAAAGAAATTGGTTTTGAGAATGGCGGGCTTAAGTGACTGCGTTCGCGCGTATCTCCGCTCCGACCGGTCGTCTTTTGTTCTGTTTTCGAGCGAAAGATTCGCCATTTTGATGGGACAGTAACGGGTTTTGAAGCCCATTAGGTTAAATGGCCACTTTGACTCCTTATAAATACAATGTTCTCCTTTCTTCCTTTTACTCTTCTTCCTTCCTCAGGTATCTTTCTTTCTCCCTCACTTCTCTCTTCATTTTTATTTTCCCCCTTTTCCTATAACAGACTTTTGCTCGTCACCGGAATTATCTCGTCCCGATCTGCCGCCTTTGTCTTCGTTGCCGGAACCGGTGGTTATAGTCTGGTCGGCCGATCGATGAGTGCTCCCAAGAGGGCGATGACGGCGGCGGAGAAGGGGAAAGGAGTTCGATTTCCGATGCCGCCGTCCGATCTCAGGCTCCAAAATACGGTCGATGCTCTTCGCGGTACTCCGATTGATGAAGCCGGTCCGGATCTTGGTCGATCCGATGATGTCGGTGGTTTTGCTCGGGAGGATGGAAGCGAGCAGTGGTCGAACGGCGATGCGGGGATCTCCGAGTTTGAGCGTTCGGAGAAAAATACCTCGGGAGTGGGTGAGATCGGGCGATCATCGAGCGGCGTGGATGGAGCCAATCGAGCTCCGACCGCGGTGGGTTACTCCGTGTCAGGAAATCGGGAAAGTGAAGGAGCATCGGGAGGTTCGGAGAGCGATGGTGAGGTAGGGAATGAGAGCGACGAATCCTCCGATAGAGTGGGTGATATCGAGCGGCCTCCGGATGACGCCGGGTTAGGAGGTGGAGGTCGATCGATTCCTTCTTATTACCACAGGGACGGAACATTCGAGCAGCTACCGGATATTCCATTAGGTCAAGTTCGACCATCCAAGATAAAGGGGCAGGATTGGGCTAATGTGTTACCTTCGTGGTGTACCGAAGAAGGGGTAGCTACGTTACTAAGGGCGCGCAGGGCGTATGGCGTTACGTTTATCGTCCCGCGTCCCGACCAGCGTCCGTGGACTCCGCCTGTAGGCTTTCACTGTGTTTACGAGTCTTTTTCGAAAAGGATTCGAAGTTGTGGTTTCCTATTCCTCGTTTGGTTACTGCGTATTGTGCGCGCCGGGACGTTCCGATGTCTCAGTTGATGAATGGGGTGATGCGATTTGCTGTTGCTTTGATGGTGATGGCGGCTGAAGTGGATGTTTCGATGAGTGTTCGGATTTTTGAGGAGCTGACTCAGATACAACCGAAGGCATGCGACTTGTATGCACTGCAGATGCGCGCAGGGTTACATATCTTATCCGGTCATCCTTCAAAGACTAGGCAGCGTTCTTATTTTTACATAAAATCTGACGAGGCTGCTTTCGAGGAGCCTCCGGGGGATCGATTTCGTACTTCGTGGAACTACCACATTGGTAGTTTACCGTTCTTTGCTACTGTTGTTGGGATCTATTATTGACATATGTTCTCTTTTTTTTTTTGTTTTTGACAGTTCCTCATCCCAGCTCTATCGATTATCCCGAGCGATTTTGGGAGGGCGTTACGAAGGTTGCTGCACTTAACCCGAGCGTGTGGGGTGATTTCGATCGGAGGAGGATTCGTCGGCAGCGCGATCGAATTACACAAGGTACTCTATTCTTCTTGTCTCTTCTTTTTCTATCATCTTCATGTTCCCCTCGTTTTTATATTTTGGCCGAGTGCTTCCCTTTGAATTGTCGTGGTGAATGGTCGATCGTTTTGCCCATATATTGCTAGTTTAACTTCGTTTTCTTGTTTTCAGTCGATTGGGCTTCTAATATACCCTGCGAGGACTTCAAAGGCAAGAGACTCCCGCTTCCACTGATGGGAAAAATTCCGCGAGTGTATCCTAACTTCAGTGAGCTTTTGGACTCTCAGCTGGGTGATGAGACTTTCGACCCGGCTGCAGCCTTGGAGATGGAAAACGAGAAGGTTGGAGGTTCACAAAATGAGGGGGACGATCATCCGGTAGGAGATTCGGCGCTAGATGAGGCGACCGATCGTGGTATCGATGCTATTTCGACGAAGAAAAAGAAGAAGAACAGGTCGTTTAAGAGAGCGAAGGCCGATTCTTTGGAGGTAGAGGTTTCCGCGGCCGAAGTTACTCATGAGGGTCCTTCTGGTGATGCTTCCGGAGGGGACCGTGGGGTTACGGAGGTAACAGGTTCTGAGAGTTTACCAAAGGGTTCGATTGGTGAGGATCGCGCTGATCCGCCGGCAGCGAAGAAGAAGAAGAGGCCGATCGATGATCGCCCTAGCGATTCCGGGAGTAAGCGGTTGAGGGATGATGATGGACGATCTGCCCCTCCTCCTAAGGAGATTGCAGTGCCAGTTTCTCGTAACCTTCCTTGGGGTGGATCGGATCCGCCAAGCGGGAAGCCCCCGTTAGCTCAATCAGAGCGTTGGAGCTTTCATCACAAGGAGGATACAGCTTTTGTCAATGATGAAGGGGCATGCGCTGAGTTATCCCGCCACATCAGAGGCGGATCACGCGAAATGCCGGAAGTCGGCGATCTCGCATTCCCGCGGCCGTTTGCTGAGTCGGCCCGCGCGGATGCCATGGTAAATTTTTTTTTATTTTTACTTTCAATCGTTCGCCCTCCTTTTATGTGTTTTGATCGTCCTCCCTTTATATATACTTTTTATGTGATAACCATTGTTGTCTTTGTTTTATAGGCCTCTCCTCGTAAGAACTACCTTGTCCTTGAGTGTGAGCTTGCCATGCGGAAAATGGCCTTGGATCTTAGGAAGGCCGAGGCGACGATCAAAACGCAAAATGCAGAGTTGGAGAAGGCCCGGAAGAGCGCTTTGGAGAGGGCGAAAGAGATGGCTGTGGAGCGAAGTCGGATTCAGCGCGAGCGTAAGCAAGCTATCGAGAGGGCCGGTGGTCTTGAGGAGGATTTGGAGAACGCTCGAACTAAGATTGCGCAACTGGAGCGTGAGAAAATTGAGGAGGCCGAGAAGCATAGGAGATTGGTGGATTTCATGAAGCAGGGTCGCATTCGTGAGGTTACATCCGAGAGAGGCCGTCTCATGACAGCCGTGACTGCGCGTTTTGACAAGTTTCGGAAGTACATGGCCGACCGGGACAAGCTTGAGACGAAGCTCTTTTTCCACGCTCAGGCTTTGGGGACTTTGCAGTCGTTGGATGTGCTAGAGAAATGGGGCCAGCAAATTCCAAAGAGGATGAGGGATACTTTGACGTTTAACGAGAAGAAGTTCAAGCGCGAGGTTGAGGAGGTCGATGTCGAGGAAATCACGGAGCGAGATCTCTCTTTGTCTCCTCCCCGTTCCGGACCATTTCAGGGTCTTGACCAGTTTGGGACGAACTTGGGGTTGGTTGACTCTGCAGCCGCAGTTTCTCTTCGTTCTCCGACGGTCGTCGTTGAGACTGTCACTGCTGCTCCGGGTGCACGCGGTGTCGTTCGTTCGACCGATGCTGATACGGGAGGAGCGCCAAGTGACGCTGCTGGAATTGGCGAGGAGGTCCTAATCGGTGAGAAGGGAGGTGCTGCCAAGGGGGCTGAGGCTTCTGTCGAGCGATCGGGTGCCGATCCGGTTGAGTCAAGTACTTGACTCGTCTGTTGTTGTCGCTTTACTTTCATGTTTCGTTTGTGTTTTTGGTCTTTCGGCCCTTTATTTGATGTCTTTTTCTGGATTTGGTTCCGCTTTGTTGCGGTTTGTTGTTGTTGTCTTTATGCTTCACGTTAAACTTCTCAGACTAAGGTTCTGTAATGTCTTCATTCTCTTTGTGTTTTTCTCTTTTTGTTCTTGAGGATGGTTCATGTAGCATATACGACGTGACGATCGATTGGTATTTGATCGGAAATCGATCGGTCTGTTCTAAGAAGCCTATCGATCGACCGACTACTGTTGGATGCTCCGCGTTACTTCCTTTTTGACTTGAGTGAGGTACCGCGATGACCTTATTCGGCGTCAGATGGACGACCGATCGTCGCTCTTACTCTGACCACCATCAGTTGTCATCGGATGGATGATCGA